AGATTTTCAAAATCTAATGAACTGATCTGTCATGTGGCCAGTAACGGTAAGATACAAACAAAACTAATGAACACTGAGCTTGCAAGATGATACCCCTATCCAATGTGAGTATATTGGCAAATTTCATTTTTTTATCGGAAACCCCAAATATATGTACAATTAGAACATAAAATAGAAGGCCATCAAGGGTCTATGTAAAAAGATTCTGTGAAAGTCTTATTCAATGGTATTCTAGTTGCAGAAAAGAGATGAGTACCTCCGATATTAAAAAGAATGGCAGCGTCCATGGTATGCTATGGAAATCCCTTAATATGAACCGAATCAAAATGTAAGATGGGAAGTGCTTAATCGCAATATATAATAAAGATTCTCTTAAAGTTTCAATAAATTTTAAATTTAAAAAAAAAAACAGTGACCATGTTTTGCTATGCTTGGAAAACCGCAAATATGTGTCAGATCGAAACGTAAAATAAGAGGTTCACAGTGGACTTAGTTATGTAGATTTGGTGAAATTTTTGTTAAATTGCCTTCGGTAGTTTAAAAGGGGTTGCGGATAAAAAAAAAAAAAGGCTATCCCCGAGTGTTACGAAGGTACGGACAGAAGGCCTAACGCACGGACACCCCATCACCATATTCCTTACATTTAAAGCGGAGGAGAAAGTTTAATAAATGATAAAAACAAAAAACTTTCATTGGCATATCTTAATTTACCTTTCAAAGAATAGGGTGGAAGCAGACGCATTTGAACTATTAAAGGAAAGTAGATATAATCTGAAATACTAAAGGATATAATCTGAAATACTAAAGGATAACATACCAATTAAGGACATACGCAACGTAGTTAGAACTTTGTCTTTTTCCCCAGAGTTGAAGAGTTCCAATACTTAAAGGAACTGTGTGCTACATTTTAATGTCTATATATGCTGTTGTACACTTCTTCTAAAACAAGTTTGGATAAATAAAACATCTAAAATATATGTTTAGTAGTTCTTGTATATTTTTCTTTGAATAATATAAGAATTTTCATCAATAAACATCTTTTCAAAACCCTTGGTAAAGCATGCTGATTTTTTGTCTACGAACATCTGATGGCACAATAATTTTAAATTAAGAATATCTTGAAAAATTATCAGTAGGTAAGGTACGTTGCGTATGTCCTTAAATCGTCAAATGGTAAATGTACTCATGCAAATGAATGTTTGACATCAGGCGTCCCTCAACCCAAATTTTGATTAGTAAGAAGAAGGTACAGTTTTGACTTTATTATGCCCTAAAAATTTAATGTCTTCAAAAAGTGTTGAAACTGGCTTAAATATTAGTAGAGTATATGAATGTGATAAATCAGGAAAGAATATGGCATGAAGGAGTACCATTCTGGAAATATGACGTAATTAATTTGATGCAATTCTCTGTTTTAAACAGAAAAAGCCTCAAAATGACCCATTTCAAGGGTTATTTTCCTTACGAAAATAATGTCCACAGCCATCGCCCACTATAATTTTCGGATATGTTGTGTAAAATTCTTTGAAAAATCACATATCTCAAAATCTTTGTGGGCGATGCCTGTGGACAATATTATCTGAAAGAAATTTCCATCGAAAATTGATGTCTTCTGCAACTTTTTAAGAAAATACGGGAAAATGCACATGTTTATGACGTCACAATTAGCATTTAGAAGGTCAAGTGAGAAAAATGATTTGCAAGATCTTTCTGCATGGAATTTCAATGATTCAGAAAGCATTAATTTTAATTTTTTTCCATCACTTTCATTTTTAAGAAAAACACAGGGCAAGATTTGTATTGAAACCGTACCTTGTTCTTTGGAAAAGCCCTCCTGTGACGCATGAGTTCTGGACTTAAACAAATAATTTTTTGGTATCAAAGTAATGAATTTTAAAAGCAGTGCAAAAAGACAGTATTCAGAGCAAACCAGTCGTGGAATATTACAATGGGAAACAAGAGGCCCATGGGCCACATCGTTTTCCTGTTCACATTGGTTAGTCAAAAGCAGAAATCAGTTCGATCTTGATAAAATTAAATACATGTATATAAGTGGCCTCAAATACCACCCCACCTCCCTTGAATCTACATTAACTAAGGATGGTTCCATATTTCTTTGCTAATAATCATGATGGCTTTAGAAGATTTTTCAAGATTTTTTTCTTACACGTTTGATCTTCTATTGTGGCCCGCTCTACCCCCGGAAACATGATTTAAACAAACTTGAATCTACACTACCTGACGATGCTTCTGAATTAATATGACTTATAATTGCTTTGCACATGCTGGTCTTGAAAAGAATATTTTTTAAACAAATGCTTCCATATAAATATATCCAATTATAGCTTTGCTACATGTATTCTTGAAGATTTTTACAGATTTTTCCTTTATATTCCTATGTAAACTTTGATCACCTATTGTGGCCCCACTCAACCCTGGGGGTCATGATTTGAACAAACTTGAATCTGCACTATCTGAAGATGCTTCCACATAAGTTTGATATTTTCTGGCCAGTGGTTCTTGAGAAGATTTTTTAAATGCCATTAATTTTTCACTAATTCATAATTATCTCTCCTTGGAGGAAAGCGTTGCCCTTCATTTGAACAAAATTGAATTCCCCTTACCCAAGGATACTTTGTGGCAAGTTCGGTTGAAATTGTTCTTGAGGAGACTTCGAAAATGTGAAAAGTTTACAGACGGAGACAGACAGACACTAGACAGACAGACAGACAGACGCTATACAAAATGTGATCAGAAAAGCTCACTTGAGCCTTCGGCTCAGATGAGCTAAAAACTATACAGTGACTTAAGTTTTCAACTTTTGATTCCTTAATAAAAACTTTAATCGCTCAAAATTAGCGATTCATATATATTTGCAGTGTACGTATTTAACAATAAAAGAAATATATATTATGATTAAGCTATGAATTAAGCCATTTGTTTAAAAAAATTCTTAAGAAGTGGGCTCTTCTATCAGTGTAAGGTACATGTATGAAACAATAATACAATATTTTACACATTTACTCCCACTCTATACACATTATTTATACAAATATAAATAAAACAATGAAATGTCTTGCTTTCTTTGTTAATGCAGGGATAACGGTTGAAATCATTGCAGGAAAAAAAATACATAGCCTCTTACGCGAATTATACGGGGTTTTTCCCAATTTTAACCGGGCTAGCTAAATGGGTTATCGGTCTTGTAAACTCAATTCCTTATGACAAAGTGTCCCTCTCAGACTAGAGCTGTATCAATATATCGATATGTATCGATATTCAAGAATGTATCGTATTGAAAAAATGACTTTCAATACGTATCGGACAAGTAGTTTTTCGTATAATTCTGTGGAAAACGTTGGGAATTTCAATCACCAAAGTTTGTATTTAACTGTTTTGAATTAAAATTGATCAATAATGATCTAATCATTAAGAAGCTAGCACTTCTTAGATAATTTTTACAAAATACATAGATACCTTTATTTTACATGTTGAATTTACAGTCGTTAAAATTTGGAATTTGAAATGTTATTTGTAATGACAGTGAGACGAGAACTTTGAAAGGAGTTGTAAAACAATTAGTTTTTATAAAAATTCATGCATTAAATGATTTTTAAGACATTTTTATGATAGACTTCTTGAAGAATCCAATGTATCGCATATCGCATTATAAAATATCGTATTATATTATCGAAATTTTTTGCTCAATACACAGCTATCTCAGACCTCTCCCCTGTAAAAAGATGAAGGTCTAAATATGGGATCCAGGATGCTAGCCAGCCCCTAAAACTATATACTCTTATAACAGTATAATACGGGTTTTTCCCAATTTTGACCGTGCTAGCTAAATAGGTTACCGCTCTTTTAAATTCAGTTCCTTTTGATAGTCAAAGGGTCTCACCCAGACCCCTCCTTTAATAAAAGATGAAGGTCTAAATATGGGATGGTTTTAACTTGGCCCTGGCACAAGATTTACCTTTTAATGGTATATTATTTCCATTGTCATCATTTTGATCAGGCTAGCTACATTGGTTTAGTGAAGTCTTTGTTTCGCTTCTTTAACATGTATTACGATGAGTCATTCAAGTTTTTCTAAAAAAAAAAAAAAATTATTAGGACACTTACGGTAATTTGAATAGGGAACCGGCCACAGCATGCGGTTCGCCATTCGAATAGTCAATAGGGGATAGGGAATAACCTTCCAACTGTAATGTAGTGGAGATTCAGATTTGTTCAGAGGAAGGACCCCTGGGCTAGGATAGTGTGGCAAAATTTTACACAGAATATAGAAAATTTTGCAAGAACAGCAAGGCTCCAACCTGTACTTTTTTTAAAAAAAATGCATTTTAAAAGTCATGCAAATAATCGACCATGAGAAAAGCCCATCCTAAGTATTTTTCAATTAAAAAAAATGAATTAAAGACACTTAATGAAAATAAATTTGCTTCCAAAATAATTTGAATAGGCAGGAAGGGGGTACGGAATTTTCAGACAAACATATGTAACATCGAGATGAAGAAATCTCTGTTGAAAGAAATCATATTATGCTTTTTCAAATAACAAAAGCACAAAGATGTACGTATATCAATATTAAAAAAGAGTACTAGTTCTAGTATTAGGTTAAAATTAACATTGTACATGTGTTATTTATATTAATAATTAAGTTAAAATGATACATATTTGTGCATGCATCAATAAATAATAACCTTAAAAATAGTAATGTCTTAGAATTATTAGTATTAATAGTTAAATTTTGTATATTGTAAATTCTTTACATACATTATATTGAACATATAATCAGCAGTATTTGTACACTTCTTTTATTATATGATTTATTTTTTGAATAACAGAAATCATTATTTCCATTCATTTCTTTCAAATGTATTCGTTTGTCATAAAAACATTATAGTCACTTTTAAAACTTAAATACAAATGATCATTTCAAAATTTAGTTAAAAACACATTGCGATTCAAAACATGACAAAAGTTATAGTAAATCTTCTAAAATGTTAGTGCCAAATATTGAATGTATATCAGTTTTACGACGGTAAAACCACGGGGGCGGAAAGGCAATCTGGAGGAACCTTGTCCAGGATCAATACCTCCTGAAAACGGTTGACATAATTTATTGCTTTTTGGTTGCATGGAAAATACATCATTTGCTTAGTTGGATCCGTCAAATCTATTCTTTGGATTGTTGGATATTTTATGGTTATCTGTACAATCCTTTTTGGATTTGTAAACGTATTAGCAGCAAAATCTACAACTGCTTCCCATGTCTTGCAACAGGAAATGTATCGCGAATCGTATCCCGCTTTCGATCCATTTGTCACATGATCTTCGACACTGAAGACGTCGGAAAATTGGTTTTTCGCAAATAGGCCCAAGCTAGGGTTTTCATCAGGTCGTAATAATCTGTAATACGTTTCCTATAGGAAAAGATTGAAGATAATTAAGAGATCTCAATGAATGCTTACAAAAATGCAAAATTTAAAGAACTTGAGATGTTCAAATATTTCAACAGAAATATCATTTTCAACAATGACTAATTGTAATTTATCCGTTGAATAAAAGTGATATTTTCAAATGTACATTCTCCCTCAAGAAACTTCTCAAAGAAAATGCTTTCTCTAGATAGAAAGAGTGAGTAAACTATCCCAACACCAACCAAAGTAAACACAAATTTCTCCAAATTGTTGATACAATCAATTTTTGCAATTTTTTATTTCCGCGAATATAGCGAATATTAACTCCGCGAATTAATTTCCTGCTGAACAGTATTGACTGGATTCGAGGGCAACATGCGTTTTGTCGGGCCCAAGAAATAAACTGTTTGCCTGAGGCCGTTAGTGTTAATTGAATAAATTTTCATACATCATATAAAAATAGTTGAAGCAAAGTTCAAATTTATAATAAGATGAAAAAACCAACAGACCTCTAAATCAAGTACTCACCATTGTCATTTAGCTGGCGTAAATAATCAATCTGGTTTAATTCGGTTGCTTTTATAAGCCTTCGTTATCATAATGAGTCTTAACATGTTTATGTTCATAAAAGCTTACTTTAATCTGATAGCTAGTGTAAACAAAACAATACACTTTCTGAAAAAAAATGGGAATTTTAGTTTCTGAAAACAACAAGAGGCCCTCGGGCCACAACACTCACCTAAATAACTTTGGCCTTGCTGTTTTTCACCGGATTTCCACCCTTGTAGTTCTTATTGTGGCCCCGCCCTACCCCTGAGGGTCATGATTTAAACAATTAGAATCTACACTACCCCAGGATGCTTCCACATAAGTTTCAGCTTTTCTGGCCCAGTGGTTCTTGAGAAGAAGAATTTAAAGATTGTTCCTCTATATTTTAATGCAAAAATTGGATTCCCTATTGTAGCCCCGCCCTACCCCGGGAGTCATGATTTGAACAATTTAGAATCTAAACTACCCCAGGATGCTTCCACTTAAGTTTCAGCTTTTCTGGGCCAGTGTTTCTTGAGAATATATTTTAAAAGATTTTTTTCTACATAGTTCAATGTAAAACTTGAATTCCCTATTGCGACCCCGCCCTACCCCTGAGGGTCATGATTTGAACAATTTTGAATTTACACTACCCCAGAATGCTTCCGCATAAGTTTCAGCTTTTCTGGTCCAGTGATTCTTGAGAAGAAGATTTTTAAAGATTTTTTTCTACATATTTCAATGTAAAACTTGGATTCCCTAATGTGGCCCCGCCCTAGCCCAGGGGTCATGATTTGAACAATTTAGAATCTACACTATCCCAGGATGCTTCCAGTCAAGACGGACGGACGGACGACGGACAACGGATGATCAGAAAATCTCATTTGAGCTTTCAGCTCAGGTGAGCTAAAAAAGGAGATATGACCATCCCGGTCACACCCGCCGTGAGAACTATGTATTGATCAGGTAGACGGAATATTCAGTAGTTAAATTTAGTATAGAAACAAAGGCCTAAAAATTGATACGAAATATTTCAGTCAAAATACTAACCAATTATAGTTTATTTTTGCTAACAAGGTCATTTTAACGACCATAGAATTTTTCAAATGCTGACTTTAAACGATGTTATTGAAATCCCTGTAACATCAACTCAGTAGCAACTCGGTTTAAAAATTAGAGCATACTCTTGAGTGTCGAATAAGTTGTGAGACATAAACACACGGGCAGGTGATAGCGGAATATTACTACATACATAAGCAAAGTTGACGATGGGAAAGCTGAAGCTCATTTGTCACATTTTAGTTGTTTGTTGACCCTTAGCGTCTATAGTCAATAAAACATCCGAATATGAAACGGATGTGGCGGACTCTGTGTTGTCTTTGATTTCGAGTTAACTGGGACATAACGAACATAAATTCAGCTGTTTAGAAACCCCTAGAGGCTCCTTTCAAAAAATGTCAATTTCTTATTCTTTTTATTTCTAAGAACTGAAATGTATGAACTATTTGTCCAAAATAAAATACTTTATAAAAAACCTCTTGTTTATCTATTTAGGTATTCCATCCCTAATAGCCTCAAATTTAATGACATTGAATGAATAACAGATATGAATGGATTGAATACTCGGTATATTTAGACATAATTCGCATTTACTAAAATCGACGTTCAGATATATCGACGAATTTTATCTATTAGCAATAGTTACTTCCATTCATATCTCGACTTAGTACATGTAAGTGCCTTTTCACTCAAAACTATCTTCTTATTCTTAAAACTAACTGTATTTTACACACTGAATTTTTGTATGTAGATCGATGTAGTCAAAGAGTGTTAATAAAGAGAAATAAGAGAATTAATAAAGAGAATTAATACATGATAGTTCCTACAGACAGTTCATTTTGCTCAATTCCAGTTAGAAATAAAATTAAAAGGTGTTCCACAAATTTGAAGTAAATTTGAACATGGTCGAGTGAACTTGGTTCCAATGGAGAAGTCTTGTTTCAGAAGTAATATGAACAAAAGAAGTATTCTATTTAAAAATGAAATGAAGACTAATACCCTATCAATTTTTCAGTCAAACGCTGAGTCCAGTTTTTTCATGAATATGAAGTAAATGTAATACCATTTCAGCATTCGGGTGCCCTCATTCACTTTCATCAATGAATTTATGAAATTGACAAAAATATCCCCTTTGGAGCCATGTTACAGAGCACTTTGAAAAAATACGCACTTAAATTTGGGATCAAGTTTACGCACGTTGAAAAAAAAACATATTTCTTTTCAAAGTGCGTTAATATCGAACATTAACTCACTTTGAAAAAAAAATGTGCTCGGTTTGGTCAATATTCTTGCAAATTTCGGTATGATAAATGATTATTTGAACCTGATTGGATAACTTTTCGGTGATGACGTTACTTCAGGATTTGAGATATAGAAGTTATAAAAAAAAAGATTGGAGGGGGGTCTTTAAGAAATAATGGAGAAATGTTTGTTTAATAGCACATTTTCGTTTCTTTTTTTATTTTTTCAAGTTTGTAATAAGTTCGGTAGATGTAGGGGTCGATAACTGACTAAAATCATCGCGTTTTTCTTAGGGAAAAGAAACAATTATGATTTTTCCATTGAAAATAATTTTCCCGCACAATATGATGATCTTTTTATAATTATTTGATAAGTATTTAGAAGTATGAAAAAATTTATTCCCGCACAACATGATGTCCTTTTTTTTTTTTTTACAGTTATTTGATTAGTATTAAGAGATATAAAAAATTTATATATGCATTTTATACAAGTTTTTTAAATTTATATTGTATTTGATTTTGTAAAGCTACTTTAGGCAAAGAGATTCCTGTTGATTGCAACTGACCTAAGTCGATAAAAAAATAGGTAGCAACTGTTCCTTCGCCATGCGCTCGGCACTTTGAAGTGAAAGTTGCAGGTTTCGGATGAGACGTTAAAAACCGATGCCCCGTGTCACGGCGTTGGCACGATAAAGATCCTTCACTGCTCAGTGGTCCTAGGTGCCGAGTAAAGGTCAAAATTTGAAGCCCTTCACCGGTATATGGTGAAGTTTCTGTATGAGTGAAAAATTCTCGAATGGGACGTAAAACGACATACAATCAATCAATCAGAGCATGTTCATAAAAATGACTTTCCTTGCCATTTTTACCAGGACCAATGTTTTGTAGGGGGTTAGTTTACTAGATATACTTACTTTTAATAACTCCAAAAAATCCCAGGGGACCGAACCCAATGACTCCCCCACCCACCCACCCACATCTTACATTCGTGCATGCATATGATGGCATATGGACATAGGAACAACATGTAATATTTATTTTACAAAAATTAAAAAAAAGAAAAAAAGGAGAGAGAACTGCTTGGAATGGAATTTACGACATCTTAACTAAAGATATTCCTAAGACACTTTCGTTTTACAATTCGGATAGTCCTAAAATGTCTTAGTAATATCCTAAGACACGTCTTAAGACACATCTTAGGACATTTTCACAAGCATGCCTGCAGAGACTATAGCTGGTGTAAACAATGTATTTTCTGAAAATAAACACAGAAAAAATGGTTTCATTTTCATTTTGCATTCGCGAAACATATTTTTGCCATGCAAGTAAAAAGAAAACAAAACATTTAACCCATCCGTACGATCAACAGGTCTGGACGATTTCCAAATATGGCCGTCAAGAACGATAAGCGTAAATTGTTCTAAATCGACCACCACCACCCAGTCTTGCAAGTATACCACCAATGAAAGAAGAACTTCACATAAATGCAGGGCCACCATCTAAAATAAAAATCACCAAGGCTATAAAGACACTGAAAAATGGAAAGGCAGCTGGTCCAGATTATATCCCTCCTGAGGCACTCAAAGCTATTCCAACAAAGTCAGCAGAGATGTTACAACCACTTCTGCAAAAGATAAGGGAAAAGGAAAAAGTACCAGATGCGTGGAAAACAGGAAACCTGGTTAAACTACACAAGAAAGGGGACCTGTCGCAGTGTGTGGAAATTGGCGAGGCATTATGCTTTTATCCATTGCCAGTAAGATCCTAACAAGACTAATCTTGGGAAGATCAATTGACGGAATATTTTTGACATCTAAGAGGTAAGTCTATGTTATTTAGCAATTTAGCATGTGCACTGTTTGTCATAAGCTATTATGAAAAATACTAGCACTACAATCCACTCATATGGATCATAGTAGACTGACAATTGCAGTAAAGCCAAACTGAAATCACTTTTGGAGGATTGTTGGAAACACGTTGAGCTTATGATACAGTGCTTTGAAACTGTATCATATTTGCTTACCATATTAACTTATATTTAAATACTATGAAAATACATCGGGATTGGTATTCTTCGTGGATCATTGCAGTATAGACAAACAAAATCTCTTTGGAGGATTTTTGGAAACACGTATTAATAAATGATAGATACTTGTAGTTATTTCTAACATTTTCTATTTAATTATTCATTTGAGGATTAGAGAGCAACATTTGCTTGTCAGATTCTATTGCAGTCTTATACTAATCTATGGATGCCATTTCTTCTTTGCAGGCGAATGCATAAACTATCATGCTAATAGTAAAATATAGCTGATCACTATAAGATTTATTTGCAACTTTTAGGAAACTACAAAGCAGGCGACACACGTGTTCCTTGGAACATTCTAGTTTGTTCACGAATCGCAATACACCGGTATATATTTTACTTTCTTTACTGGAAAGCTTTGCAAAAAAGGACAAAACAAAGCACAACCACAAACACACAAAAACGAAACAACAAAAAGAAACAAAAACACAAAGGATATTAAGGGGGTAGGGGTAATGAAACTTCTGAAGGACTAGCCGATTACTTCTGGATAAATTCCTTTGGTTAAGTAATTTTGTAAGATGCATCTACTCTCCATCGTTGCTTCGAGCTAAGTGACAGACTTGGTTTTATGCAGCAGTCAAGAACTGTCTTTCTCTGATCTCCCTGCAGAACTAGAACTAGAGTCCGGGATGGATTAGAAGCTACATTTCTCACTATCTTTGATATCAACAATCAAAACAACGC